AGTGACGTGGAGAGTTTTATAGGATGTTTATATACAAAGCATTGCTTGTTTTGTTTTTTGGGCTAACCTGCTGATTGCAAGAAAAGTTAGTCATGAAAGAATGGTTTCGAGCCCTTTAGTTTTAGTAGGCTGTCGTTGGGCCCAATATCACTCTAATTGATTCTCTTCAGAGGCTAAGTTTCGGCCCAGCTCTAGTTTTCAAATGTGAGTATTGCATCATCCAAATGTGCCGTGCACAACAATTGCTAGTGTTTTTGCTCTTTTTCGCCAAAATATTCTAGTCCCGTCCGCGTGACGCCTTCATTGCGTAAACCGTCTCTACATCGTGTGCCTTAAGATCTCTGTAAATGCGTAATTCAGACTTTATAAATATTCATGTGCTTTTTTCTCAATGTATTTTTATCGCCTACACCGTACTCCGAAATTGCGGACGTGGACTTGTGCCAATTACTCGGTGATTCGTCATGGACTGAACTAGCACTACTGCAGGTGGCAAGGAAGCACAGCGACAGTGGCGTGGGAACTCGGTGGGCTGGTTGCGGCTGAGGGAATTGGGTTACTGCAGAAGCGACGATAAACCTGCACAAGAAAAAGAGGACGATAGACTTTGCTTGAAATTGGAAAAAATTTATGGCTCAGGGAAAAAATCAATGGAAGACGATGGAGACCATCGGTTCATCATGACAGCAGCTGCTCGTTGGGCCGATAGGAGGGAATTGTGGCGGTGGATAGCGGCAAGCAAAGTAAAGTCGCTCGGCCGTCACTCCATCTCTCTCTCTCTATGTCAATTCTCTCAATGTGCTCTTAGAATCCTGAATTACCGACCTTGACTATTGAGGCATAAGCATATTTATATAGAGTTCAATCTTACGGTTAATTGGTCAGGCTTGATTAACCTAGGCCTCTCTTTAATTAGGCTTGTCACGAGCTGAATTAGGCTTGATTTTGGCTCGTCCCCTTATGCATATTTCTCCCTAATTTTCTGTGCAATTAATTTTTAAATGGTTAGCCAAAATTCAACACCTACCACTTGTCGAATTGGTGTAATCAAGTCCTTACCTCCGTCTAAGTTGGCTGATGGAGGAACTTGATTGGGCCATTTTTTTTATAAGTTTTAGAATTTAGTTGAACTTTTTGAAAGTTTTAGCAAACAATTGCACTTTGAAGATGAATTTTAGAATTTATACTGCACTTGTCCCTTCCTTCTAAATTCATGTGATTCGACTTGGTTCCAGCTACTAACATGTTTTTTCATCGCACTCAAATTTTTTTTGGGAAAATTACCAAAACAGTCCTAAATCTATTGCAATTGTGTCAATTCAGTCCTAAACCTTTTTTTTTATGTTAATTCAGTCCTAAACATTTTTCATTTGTGCCAATTTAGTCCATCCGGCCAATTTTGACCGGCCGGTGCTAACATGGACGCCGACCGTCTGGCCAACGCTAACGTGGCAATTTTTTAATTTTTAATTTTTCCTTTTTTTTCTTTTATTTCCCTTTTTTTTTTCCTTTCATCTTCAACCTTGGTGACCGACCAGAGGCAAGAGCCGGCAAGGTTGGCCTCGCCAGTTGCCAACTAGTTTGAGCCTTGCTGCATCTGGCGAGGGCTCGTCCTCACCGGCAACTAGCAAGGCTCGTCCTCTCCGTTGCTAGGCAAGGTCGACCTCGCCAGTTGCCGGCGAGTTCGAGCCTCGTTAGATTTGGCGAGAGCACGTCCTCGCCGGCAACTGGCGAGGTGAGGCTCGCCCTCACCGGCAACAGACAAGGCTCGAACTCGTCAGCAACTGGTGAGGTCAAGCCTTGCCAACAGCTAGCCAGGCCGACCTCGCCGACCCCGGCCTCTGGCCGGTCGCCAGACTGGCAACCGACAACCGGTTAGAGGTTGAAGATGAAGGGAGAAAAAAAAAAAAAAAGAAAAGAAAAAAAAGGAAAATATTAAAAAAAATTAATAAAAAAATTCACATCAGCACTGACCTGTCAAAATTGGCCATAAAGACTGAATTGGCACAAATACAAAAGATTTATGACTGAATTGATATAAAAAAAAGTTTAGGACTGAATTGATACAGTTGCAATATGTTTAGGACTGCTTTAATAATTTTCCCAATATTTTTTTGTTTTTTGTACTTGAAAGTTTCTTTCGAAAGCATAGCTTCCTAGGGCCGTGCTTCTAGCTTCTAGTAAGATGTGGGATTTTAGAAGCAAGAAAGAAGAAAGCAAAACCCCGCCGCGTGTCAAATTCACTAAGATAAGCGTCGTTTTCAATATCGATTTTGATTCAAAACGTGCTCTTCACTCTATCTCCTCCTGCTCAAGAAATCTTGAATTTGAACCCCTCTATGCTCTTAGTGCTCCTGGGCTTCTCCTTTTATAGAACCATTTTTTGAATGAAAAGGAAAGATTAGAGAAGCTAGCGGAATTAACATTGTCGTGCACTGCATCGACACCTTGGTGGAGTCCCCGTCGCTGGATACACGACAAGTGAAACGGGTCGGGTTAGCATGAGTTCGGCTCCATGTTTTGTTCCAATTTTTTGGTCAAAGCCCGACGGTCCTAGAGGCCCTCACTCACTGCAGGCGCATGCTTACCCCATGATTTAAAATCCCACATCTTGCATAGTGTCTAGTAACCAGGGGTACTGGTCTGCACGTCGGTTACTAGACACTGTGCAAAGCACAGGCAAACGAGCAGGAAGCCGAAACTTTCTCTTCTGTCACCTCAGGCGTGGAAGGCTATTCTACCTACCTACCTGGTAGTAACCAATCGAAGTTGACGTGGAATTTACCTTCTCCACCCAGAAGACCCTCAGTTCCCTCCTTATCTTTATCTTCCTGAGAGAGAGAAAATATAGAGAAAACTTACAAGAAGATCCATTCACCGTATCGGGGAGTTCCTTCCCCTATTTCCTTTTGAGCCTTTTAAGGACTTGCTCAGGTCCAATTTACCCTAATTGGACTTGTGGAATATCTGCCCACGTTAGATGGATAATTATGCCTTGTTTTTTTCCCCCTTGATTTCATAGCTAATAGTTTTCTCTTAAAACTCCATGCAGAGAATAACGTCCATTTTGGCCGCTTTCTTGGAATATCTATGCCGGATTTGGTGGCGATTCTCCTCGAGACTTTGATGGTCCCGATCATGATTTCGTGCTGCGTTGTTGCCATTTACATTTACCAAAATAACCCAATACCGATACAAATCAGGAAAGGGGACCTAGAAATTCAAATGGGAAATATATAGTGAAAAAGAAGAAGAATAAAATGTGGCTGTTGACGCCTGAAATTTTATTAATGAATTTGTCCCTTTTTTGTTAAAAAAAAAAGAAAAACAAGAAAAAATGAAATAAATGAACAAATGCATAAACAACTAAAAACAAGGCTCAATTCGATTTTAGATTGTGCAGCCCACAGAAGTGGTCCTTGATCCATGGCACGACTTAAAAGGAGCCCCGGCATTTTCTTTTCGCTCCCACACGCTATGAAGCTAGGACACGCGAAAGCAAAATAAGTTCTGTCGACTTGCTTTTTCTATTAAGATAATCACATCATCTTCTAAGAATAAGAGTATGTTCATACATGCACTTTGCACGTCCGTCGCACGTTCGATGCAGGTGCATTGCACGAGATAAAAGATGTTGAGTTTATTAAGCATCTTATTTAATTAAATGAGTATAAAATTAATTTTACAAAATCCTTAACTATTTTCTTAATATTTTCATGATAAAATACTTCGCAACTGGCATAGTCCACTGACCATGACCTCCTACCGAGGCAAGGGTTGAAATGCATGGCGGCGGTGAAGGCGGCGGAATTGGCAAGGACGGACACAAGGATCAACCACGGCATCCACTTGCCGCCGGAAGCGAACTGTATGATCAGCACAAATTTCGTTTCTTGGGATCTAGCACGAATTTCGCTTCTTGGGATCTAGTACTATTAGTATTACTTTCTGTTCCTCTCTCGAGATCTCAGTTCAAGCTTGACATTGCCCTAGTTGAGAATTGTGAATAAAGAGAAAAATAATATTCCGTTCATTAACAAGTAGATAGTACATGAGCCTATTTATAGATTTTACATAACGACTATCTAAAGTAACAAATCAAGGAAGATATACAGAATCACATAATAATATACAGAATTACAGAATATTACGAATATATATCTCTAACAACCCTTATGTTTCTCTTAATTCTCTAGCTTTCGAACTGTGAACAAAAGAATCAGTGCGATCCATGCGGGTTGTTCACATATTAAGATTGGATTATATAGAAGTGGAGGTTTCTACATAGCAAGAATTGATTAATGAGGCGGTCACTTATTTTAACTTTCTGGTCATGCAGAGTCATAAGCGACCAGTTAAAGTCCACATATTTTACAATCAGAGTTTAAGGTTTCTTACGGATCAAGATTGAAGGCCATGGGCATGACTCGAAGAAACTAGTCTAGGCAGTCTAATACACACCAGGTGTTCGACGAAATACCCAAACCAAGTTTTAATCTTGAAAGTATTGATTTGAGCTGGTCACAAACGTAATTCAATTTAATGAATTAAAATTGTCTTATAAAAAAGGCGAAAATCTATAAAAAATTTCAAAAAAAATGTGGGCTAGTGTTAAATTAGGGCATAAATGACATTTTTGAAACTTTCCTCAGTCATTCTCCTAATTTAGTGCTTTTTTTGGCATTTTATAAATGGTCATTTTCATGAATAATCAGTTTTGTATAGATTAGAATTATTTAATGAAGTTCCACGCAATTAAAGTAATTTCATGCATATTTAAGTTCCCATTTAGCTCATGAAGGAATCTTGTCCCGGGGTTCTTCTATAACAAGACTCACCCGTTTGACGAGTTTACCATTGCCTATAGGAATTCTCCCCTGATATTCCAACCGTGGCCTCAAGAAAAAGGGAGATAAAGATCAACACAGATTAAAAACCCGAACGAAAAGTTTACAAAGTCGAAAACCTCACTTATTAAGTAGCACGATAGCTCCTCATCACTAACCATCCATCCCTCCCTCACAGTAGCCTCCCGGACCACCAAAACTAATCCAATGCCCCATTTCGCGACTTTTGCCATAGTTCTTCAAATCATAGACATTGGAACCATCCACCGTCTCCACTGTTTTTTTCGAAGGACGTTGAAAAGCGCCGGTCGCATCAATCCAATTAAGATCTCGAAAGTACGTGGCGTGATCAGAATGGCCATCAGGCTTATGACCACTTCCCATCGGAGGACAAACTCCGTCTCTCCCAGCCTGACCCGCTCCTCCCCAAGCCGTATCTAGCGCACCGTCGCGTAAATATAAGAACAGTTCACTCGGCCAATAACCAATTATCATGCCTGGATGACCAACAGTCAGCCACCAGTTGTTCCTACTTGCATCCTGCATCCAGGCAACAAATGCCCATGAGTTCTTACACATACTTGAGATTAGTTTCATCGCTTCTAGAAAGTTCGAAAGACAAATCGCGCAACGTTCGATTGGCAAATCTCGCTGCTCGAGTATCTCCGAATTCTCTCTTACAAGCATACGTTGGCTCCGATACCGAAGAACGTATCGCTCCGTTCTACTTTAAGACTAGCCACTGATATGCGATTATTTTACATATAAAATCCCAATTTGACATACAAATTATCTTTTCGATCATCCTTTAACTGAACCAAATGTTACTGCAGAAGGAACGTCGTGATGATTTTTATGGCTTATCACACACCGGCCTCTTTTTTCTTAAGCATATGGCCTAGGGAAGGCGACAAAAGTTTTAGAAACTTATGAACTTTTTTACAGCTATTTTAGTTTGCGTGTACCTACTATATATTATGGAAACATTTACATAATTTTAGAATAACCAAGTTGCAGATGAACTACAATTTTAATACAAATAGCTTCGAATGTTCGGCAATGGAGTATGAAACAATTTCACCGGTTCTATTAATTTTGTAACTGTTTTCATAACTCGTTCAAAAGTTTGATATATAAAAGATATAACTATAGAAATTGCTTATGTATTGTAAAGATGACTAGTGAAATTTAAAGAAAGTGGATCAGCAACACTCACAGATCACCGCAATTTCATGAAATCAATTATTCAGTAAAGAAAAAGGCTATCTTAATAACCACTGACTTCATCAATACTATCCATCGAGAAAATTTATAACTACATGGACCGACTTGGTTGCTCAAATCACATTTCAAGAACTTTTATGTAAACTAGCTCCACTAATTGTAGTATATGATTATCATTTCAATTTCGATGATAATTTCGCATTAAAGTATGTTGTCAGTTTACTAAAATTGCTAGATTTTTGTCTTCTATCGATTCTCTAATAGGTCGACATCTAAGAGACAGAGCAATCACGTGATGATTGTTTCTAACTTAATTTGATAAAACGTCCTTTAATTACTCCGATTAGAAAAAAAAGGGTAATATGAAGTAAACATTACAATGTCTTCTCTTCCGGGTTGCTGTTGGCATCTCCTGTTTCAACTTCGCTATGATAGTAATAATAATAATATACAAATTTTGATTCTATTTGAAAGATACAAAAGCTTATTTATAATTTTTTTTTCTATAGAGCTTGATTTAAGAAATCTATTGCTAAGTTTCTAATTGTGCGTTTATCATTGTTTTATATTTTTTAAAGTTATTCTTTTCCCAATATCTCTTATCGAATAATGAAAAAGCGCTTTTGTGTGTGTGTGTGTGTTTACCTAACTTATTTACCCCCAAAAACTTTCTTCCTGGTTACATCCCAACACAAATCTATCCCAAAATTGATTGCCGAAGAAAAATTAGATCTAATAGTTCATATTTGATGAACGCCTATTATGTCTCAAAAGTAAATGGACATATTCACAGAATTTTTAGCTGCCCCGATCAATTTTGAGAGAAAGTTAGTTTGGAACGTGTAATTTGTTAAATGTTTAGTATGTGTCACGATCAGTGTTAATCACCCAACATGTGTGCAATTCAAAATTATTCACCGAAGTTGAACTCAGTTAATCTTGTTCTCACCATATGCGATTAAATTGGGAAGAAGATAGCACGATAGGTTTGAATTGGTTTCTTTAAGAACAGAGTACAGTGTCTTAATTACATCAAAATCAAGCTTACCTGATGGATTTGGATAGAAATCACAATTTGAGGTCCGCCATAAATGGAAGATTTCTCTAATAGATAGCCGGGAGTTATTGACCTATGAACCTGGACAAAACTTGGACATAGCATGTCGAAACATCCGTCGCCATTGCCATTACCCTATAAGAATGATGCTTTAGTCAACAAAATAAGCCAACGATCCAACTTCAATGTTGGAAATTCAAATCCATTGGGAGAATCAATCAACAAGCTTCAAACTAACCGTCCAAAATGTGAACAACCGATTACGAGAATCACCATATAATTGTGGAGAAACCTAGACAAAGCAAAAGATATTATATCTTTTATCTCAATGCATTCTCTATATTTTCCTATAAATTGAAGTACCTGCCAGCCTGCAACAATCATATTAAGCTTATCCAATGGACCACTTTCAATCCACATGTTGTGTGTGCTAGCTTGGTCATGAGCTATGGTTAAATTGTACACATTAATTATCCCATAAGCTCCATATTTGATATTTTCTGTCATGTCGTCTCTCAACGAAACTACCTGCATCAAATTGTAGATGGGTTAATGAAAGATAAACTTTTGTTTGCTTATGACTCGCTCTACTCCGATGCAGGGGTAATTCTACTTCAAAATCACAAATGCAATTTGGATAGAGAATTTAGTTTTTGGAGGGTGATAGTACAATTTTTTTTCACTTGTATTTTTATTTTTGTTTGATGGGACGGGTAACGCAAAAAAAAATATACGATTGGATCTTTTCTTTGTACTGCTTATGAAAAGATCAATTTGTATGTTTTTTCTCATATTGCCGGACTTGTTTTATATTATGTCAAGAAATTTTCGGCATATCAGAGGTAGCTATGAGAAGAATATAAGTCATGCATTAAATACTACCTGTGAACGTTAATCTTTTCACAGGTTATCTACAGGATTTCAATAAGAAAAATCTCATAAAGCTCAATGTATGTAAAGGTGCATGTATCTTTGTGCGCTAGAGCACAACACATGTAGATAGATAGATAGATAGAGAGAGAGAGAGAGAGAGAGCAGCACATGTTGAGAAAAAGCATTCTGACTCTTAGAGGATGACATCTTGGCTACGGACTTTGCCCTTATCAAGTCTTCCTTTCTCACTCGAGGAATGGGTACTGTTCCGAATGGGCAAGGTTCTCTTGATTCGAACTGTACAAATTTGACCTTTGAAGGAGTATGCAAGTGAACGAAGCTTATATTCGGCTCACTCTGCAAGAAGGGCGGTCACAATATCATCAAGCAGAGCAAGTTAATACAAAAGTGATGATGGTTTGACTAAACACGATTTTCTTCCTTAAAAGGATAAAGGGAAAAAATGATAAATTATTGCCTGAATTTTATGGTTTTTCAACAGTGGATGATCAAGTGCCGGTTGCTTGTCAATTTCAACACAATCGATAGTTTCTCCTTCCTTTGTCTTCATGAAAATATCAAACATAATCGGTCATTTGTCAAACAAACAACGCTTTTGAACAACATAGATTGCAGAATATAACATAAAATCCGAAAGGAGAAAATCATTGAGAATTTTGAAAGATTAATCACCACAAATGTCTTCATGGATGACTTGGTCATCATCTGAACTTGTCTTTCCAAATCTCGATCATCATCATCTTCAGAGATGCTTGCCAGCTCATACGTTAAAACACTTAAGAAAATAAGCAACAACAATGCAAGTTTCATTCTCACTTGTCTAATGAATTTTGAAGTTTCGAAACGATGTTGCATAGTGTTTAGGTTATGTCTATTTATTAACAACAATTTTTTTTCATGGCCGCTTTTTGTACTTTAGTGAAACCCCACAAACCTGACAATGGGGTTCGACGCAAGAAATTATGTCATTAGAAAAAAGAAGCTCGACAAATGGCAAGCATGCATTTGCATTAAAACGGTTTCATTAGAAAAAAGAAGCTCGACATGCAAATGGCAAGCATGCATTTTCATTAGAAATAAAATGGCAAACATGCATTATTTCATGGACAATTTGTAGTCTTCCAAGTAAAATGAGAACTACATATCTTTAATATAAAAGAATAAATTGATGACGTATTTGATATAATTATTTTGACGAAGAGAGGCTTTTGTTTAGACAATGTGGATGGACCCAACTTTAAAGATGATGTGGCTATGTATTTATGGTTCATGTCATGGATGCAAGTCATAACGTATATGCAATTGTTACGGATCATGATTCTCCCGTCTTATACCCTTGTGAGTGGAGCTTAGGGTTATTGGGTGAAGAGTGAGTGATACATAAGGGATGAATACAACTGATTCGTGGGAGTGGTGTCAGAACGGTTGGTGCTTGGAGTTCTAGAATAGAACGATTATATCTCTATATAGCTCTGAAGGCAAGGTTGGCCTCCCATGCACAAACTGGTAGGGAGCTAATGCCACTCTCCCGATGAGACCATGGCAGGCCGAAACTAGTTGATGTACCTAAAGTATTCTGTGTGTCTCGCTCAATGGATAAGATACACTCGTGCTAAGCTGGACATGATACGATCCAATACGATGAATCTATTTGCCATACGGTTCTTTGGAACAGCTATGGAACGAAGGCTAGCCTGATGTAAATGAGCCACCAGGCACCACACGGGCTATTCCGCGACCAAGGAACTGCTAGCCCGAGACAGATGATATCAGAGCAGAATCCCTCCAATAGGTTAGTTGAGTCGGTGAAATCCTGTCGTCTACCCGGTCCTATGAGGGCGAAGAGTGAATCACCGAGGTAAAACGTGCTCGGACAAAGTATGGCTCTCGACTTGCTTCTAGGATGACAATGGGGGTACAAGAAAGAACCGATTCCTCACCAAAAAGGGAAAACATTCTTGAATCAATTTGGTGAATCTCAAGATGGATCTGCTACCACGTTATCAACAAGGGGAGAAACATCCATTGGTCTGCTAAGATCAAGAAAAATCGAGGCGAAGGATGGTGCTGCCAAAAAGTGCAGTTGGTGAAAAATGCCACACTTGTCGGGGAAAGCATAAGTGACAGAAGGTGTGGAACGACTTTAATCGGAAAAAACCACCAGTGGGGTGGAGTTATTTTGTTGGACAAGCGTCCACCACTCATGTAAGCCCCTAAAAAGCGACGTTGATGGTCAGAAGCGATGCAGGAAAGCGGCAGAACAGCCTGCAACGAGAGCGTTGCGGAATTGAATGGGGGAGAATGTCACGGACCCTGATTCTTTCGTACTCTTATACCCTTGTGAGTGCAGCTTGGGTTATCGGGTGAAGAGTGAGTGATGTAGAATAAATGAATACAACTGGTTCGTGGGAGTGGTGTCAAGAGGTTGATGCTAGGAGTTTTAGGATCAAACGATTATATCTCTACGGAGCTCCGAAGGCAGGGTTTGTCAAGCCCCGAACCCTAACGGGCTCGCGACACCCCTCGATGGTCGATCATTGAATGCGACGTCCCAGACACGTCGCCGACCTAACCCAAACATCAGAGATTAGGCACGCGCGGAAACAATTAGAAACAACCCAGACAAATAATAAGGACAAGGGGTAGCAGTAGCACGAAACAATAACTGTAATTCCTACTCTTGGCAGATACATACGACGCTCACAAAAAGACAATCCCAAGCTAGGCCACATCAACAGAACCACATTCCTCACAAGAGATAATAGTTCACAAACTTAACTCCTCTACAAAAAGGGGAACTCAAAATACCGGGTACTTAACCCGTCCTCGATCTCCGAGATACCCTTTCAGCGTCTCCAATCACTCATGGTCGCGGATCTGAAATGGTTATATAATAACCGTGAGAACAAGTCTCAATAAGCAACCCCCTATACCCCACATAGGCCAATGCGTACCCAGACAAGTCGTACATGCAATTTACCCCATAACATATAAAATTCGCATCATTATACTTACCTTGCCATCAAGCCCATGTAAACTCTGCACGTTAGTCGTCACGTGATAATGCAATAATAGTAATTAAATAACACATCACAATCGCTCAAACACCAATCACACTTACACTCAATCAATCCAACTAATTCAACCAGCCAATTCAATCACACGCTCAACCAGCCAATTCAATCACACTCAATTCGCATGCGTGGCCGAACATCTTTCTCACGACCTGCGCCACTACGCCTCAGGTCCATTCTCACTGCCCGCGCCACTGCGCCTCAGGCCCATTTGGCACACCGGCCATTCATGCTTTCACACGGACCGCCGTCAACACGTCCCAAGTCCGTAGCCCTCCGATCAATCCGGGCTCAATTCTAATGACCGACGTAAACACGTCCCGGTCCAACACACCTTTAACGGGCCACCGTCAACACGTCTCAAGCCCGCATCCATTTGGCACACCGGCCATTCATGCCTTCACACAGACCGCCGTCAACACGTCCCAAATCCGTAGCCCTCCGATCAATCCGGGCTTATAATCGACAGGCATACACACGCCATTCAATTCAATCAATTTCATGCCAATTGCACCAAACGATCCACATTCACAACTCAATTCAATTCACGGCATGCCATACCAACCCACAAACTCGACATTCAATCGGCCACATACGAACATCCAAATCATGCATATAATTTCATCCAATCCAACTAACACAATTATATAATAATATAATCAAATTATACCGTGACCTAACCGTTCTAAACCCTAAATAAGTCTATAAAGTACCCAAAGTACTAAGTAGGGTTTAGGAAGTCACTTACTTGATTTTGGCCCGGAGAAAATCGGCTCGGGCCTAAAATGTCCCGGGTGAACAGTACCGGACTAGGCGCGGGCGCGGGCCAATGGGCGCGCTGGCCGGCCAACACGGGCACGGTGGCCGATCGGCATGCCTGGCGCGCGGGCGCGGTGGCCGAACGACGTGCCCGGGGACGCACGGGCGGCTGGACGGGCGACGCCCCAGGGCGACGGGCCGACTGGATGGGCGACGTGCCTGGGCAACGGGCCACGGCCGAGCGCGCGGCTAGGATGCGTGGGCAACGGGCCGGCCACGGCTTGGGCAAGCCCGGGCACGGCTGGCAAGCGGCCTGAGCTGGCCTGGGCTGCTGGCCGGCCGGGGCGAGCGAGCGGCGGCCGCGACGGCGCGGAGGGAGGGAAGTTAGCCGGGGGTGGTGATGGCGAGGGAGAGAGGGAGAGAAGCTGCGGGCTGAGAGGGTGAGGCGGCGGCAGCGGGGCGGCACAGCGCGGCTGGGGTGAGCTGGCGGCGACGGTGGCTCACGGCGGGAAGGACGGCGGCTGGGTCGACGGGAGGCGCGACCCGCGTGCTGGCTGGACAGTCCAGCGACGGCGATCGTGGGGGGCGACGGTGGCGGTGCTGCTCAGCCGGGAACGAGCTGAGGTGGTGGCGGCGAGAAGGTGGTGCGTGGCGGTGGTTGGTTCCGGCGAGGACAAGCCGGCGGTGAGCAGCAGAAAAGAAGAAGCCAGGCGGAAGAAGAAAACCAGCGAAGGAGAAGAGAAGAAGAAAAGAAAAGAAAAAGGAAAAGAAAAGAAAGAAAAGGAAGAGAGAGAGAAGTGG